TACTAGGATGGCAGTTAGGCTTTATACCAGTGATTACATTTCATGGCTGAGCACATGGGTTCCAATTCCAGAAACCAAAAATCCTCGCTGGACCAGACTCCATACTGTCCTGTCTCAGGTGTTTGTTGTCCAGTGGCAGTCCCTCTTTTTACGGACTGCAAGGCTACATGTACCTGAGATTATCTGGTGCTTAGGAAACCACAAGTATCACATGTCCATCTTTGATTCTAGGGGTACTGCCCTGGAACCCATTGGCACTGCAACATGCCACTTGTTTCTTTTAACTATAGTGCCCATTACATGAATCTACCACAGTCTGGTTATCTATTCACCTTCTGATGAAAGTTTGAGTTGTTTCCAGTTAGGAATTATTTCAAGTACAACTCTTGTGAGTTCAGGGGCAATGCATTATTTAATGTGACTCTTCTACTCAAAGTCTCTAACTCCCACCAAACAACCTTGTCCTGCATTGGTCTGGTAAGAAGGTGGGGAAGATACTGATAGGATTAGCTGTTGAGTAAATTGTGACCAGGATTCCTTGGAATGCTGTCTTGCAGCATATAAAATGAGCCCTCTGATAGAAGGATCTCCTTACCTTCAAGAGCAAGGAATGGAATATATTCTCTGGACCAGAGATCCCTGTGCAAGGAATCTTCTGGGTCCCAGATTATAGCTATAACACCAGAGGAGCTGCAGCAGAATCAGGAGCCAGAGTATGGAACAGAGTGGTGGACTCCCCAACCCACGGAGCAAGTGAAGCTGAGTGCTTTTGTGAAGGAAGATGGCTTGCAGAGTGGTGTGCCTCTGGGCTCATAATTCAGGGAGCTGCATTTACTGACCCAGGGAATTCAAGCTGAATGCCTTGGGTGAGTCTTACCCCGGAGCGGTCTGCCCCTTTGTACATTTATTGGCAGACCTGAAAGTCTTTTTAACAGGTCCCAATAAACAACTAACCTGTGCATTTCTTACTGCTGTAATAACCTGTTGATTCCTCAATATTTTTTACCAAAACTATTTTATTGGGAGTTAATACAGATATCATATCATGCCATAGTTCAATCGCATCAAGTAGCATTGTGAAATTCCTCCCACAATCAATTTCAAAATATTCTTTTCCTTCTTGAACTCTTGACATCAGCACTCTTTTACTGTCCCCACAGCTGCCACCACTGACCCCGAAAGCCTTATTCTACTTGATGTACTTATAGGTTCAAAAATCCTGGGTTTTTTATTCTGAAAAACAGAAGAACACATAACCAAAATTCCAGAGGGTGGCCCCCGAATGACATAACACATCTGAGGTAAACCCCATTATAAAAAAATTAAAAAAACTTAAAACTAGATCGGGTCTAACCTGCATCAGAGTGGGGATCAGCTGACAAAGTTTTAACCGTTCAAGTCAAGTTTATCATTTTGATTTTCTATAGTCATCTTTCCAATGCACTCCGTTTAGTAACCACTTTTCTCCCATCCCTCCAACGCGTTAATCATCAACATTGTCTGAGAGGTCTGTGTATCCATTGCTATGGTTATCAGATCCTAGAAATAAAGTAGATCATAGCAAATAAGACAACATAGTAAGCATTTGTGTATACATCTCCATGCACCATCCACTCAATTTAATGAGATCTGTTTCTTTCCTTTTTCATTCCTTGACCTGAAAAGGCAGTTCACAGAGCTCATCCATGTGATTCCTGTCTCTTAGGAATGACAATCTCTGCTACTTGATGACCCCCATAGTGAGAACATTTTCCTAGATTCACTTTCAGCTTTCATCTTCTTCAGTATGTTTTTCCCTCTTTTACCATATCTGAAATGGAAGATTTCAGATATATATACCCCAGTAGATATATACCCCACTTTGGGATGGGCTTCCATACTGAGGATACCATAGAACCTTGGCGTGACCTAATAATATTATTTTCTTCTCAGCAGCTATTGGAAGTGATTTGACGAAATTCATTGAACATTTGTGATTGTAGATATGGGAATGATAACATCACCAAATTTATCAATGCTACAACATTTAAGGAAGCAACTCTTACTAATGATAAGCACGCAAAGCATTGAAACCACACAATCACTGTACCATTTGCCATAACTTTAAATATGTTGTAAGCCAGGGACTCTCTCTACCATTTTGGACTTTTTCTTGCTCTGTTTCTGAAAGCCTGTATCCAAAAAAGATAAAATGTTTTTAACAATCAGATACATTTTCTTTTCTTTCTTTTTTTTAAAAAAACATTTTATTAGGGGCTCATACAACTGTTATCGCAATCCATACACACATCAATTGTGTAAAGCGCATTTGTACATCATTCTCAAAACATTTTCTCTCCACTTAAACCCCCGACATTAGGTCCTCATTTTTCCCCACCCTCCCCGCTCCCCCCTCCCTCATGAACCCTTGATAGTTTATAAATGGGTATTTTGTCATATCTTGCCCTGTCCGACATCTCCCTTCACCCACTTTTCAGTTGTCTGTCCCCCAGGGAGGAGGTCACACACAGTTCCTTGTAATTGGTTCCCTCTTTCCTACCCATTCTCCCTATACCCTCCCTGTTTCGCCACTCACACCACCGGTCCTGTAGGGCTCACCCGCCCTGGATTCCCTGCACCCTCAGTCCCTATCTGCACCAGTGTACATCCTCTGATCTAGCCAGACTTGCAAGGTCGAATTCGAGTCATGGTAGTGGGAGTGGGGAGGCAGATACATTTTCATATTCTTCCACAGCTATCTTTTTTTTAAAAAAAAGATTGTAAATTGATTTGATTTTTAAATTCAGATCACTAAATTTATAGTCAGCAGTTTAAATTACTCGATAAACCCCCCAAAATTTGCCTTTTAACTATTTCTACATTCATGTTCTCCTCTTGTGGGCTACTGTCTTCCATTTCACTCAAGTTAACACAGCTCCACTGTCTAGTTCATTGTCTCACTCATCTGCTCTTCCCTGTCCTCTCCCCACCTTGTGGAAAACACATTTGACAAAATCTACAACCCAGGTCCGATAGAAACACACACCAAATAGAAATAGAAGGGCAAGCTCTAAAATTAAGTAAGTGCATATACACAAAACCAATATCCAACATTAGTCTCAAAAAAGAAAAATTTAGAGCATTTCCCCTATAAGAATGGGCCAGAAAAAGATGTCTTTTATCATCACTTGTCATCAATATTGTGTGGGAAACCTTAGCCAGCAGTTTAATACAAGAGACACAGCTAGAAGCAATCCTAATTAGCAAAGGAGCAAAACTCGGTTTCCAAACAAAATGATCTTATGAATACAAAATGACAAAGACTAAGAGGGAAATTTTCTAGAAGTAATTAAAGAATTCAACCAAGAGGCAAAGTATAAGATCTACATAGAAAAATCTTTCACATTCCATTACAGCACTATTTGCTAAGTGTGCAGTATCACCTAGTGGGTGCACTGTGTAATTATTATCTGAAAGGGGGTCAAATATATTTGGGAACCTATACTTTACACTAACAAAGAGAACTCTGAAAAATAATCAGGAAACAATACCATTTATAATGACCACTGTGCCAGTTTCATGAAGGGGTGGTGTCTAGCCTGTCAATCAGTTCACAGCTTGAGGACTTCAATTGGAGACGCTATAGGTCACTGGACGCAGGAGACAGATTCACTCCCTGTGAGACATGCTTGCTGACAAGACACATGGAGCTACACTATAGCCTTGGACCTCAAGGAACCACCTGGAGACCTCTGTCCGTGCTGAGATTCCTCTACTGCCACTGATCCACAAGATTTTCCACCCACATGCCTGTGATCTTCCTGTATTTGGCATCATTGCATGTATTGTGTGAGTCTGGAGAGGAATTTATAGACTGGTATTGGACATATGGGCAAATATCAGACTTATGGACTTGGGGTGAACTGGGCTAGGGTGCTTCCTTAATGTACAATTGCTCCTATATCTACAGTTCTTTCTTATATACACATGAGTGTCTATGAAGTTGTTTCTCTAGTCAACCCAGACTAACACAATAATATTGTTCTATTATTGAGCATTCCGTTGGGTCACCTTTCTTTGGAATGGGTACAAAGATGTCTCTCTTCCATTCAGATGACCAAATAGTTGTTTTCCAAATTTCCTGCCATAGAGCAGTTATTGCTTCAGGTGCTTTATCAGCTTGTTGAAACATTTCATTGGGCATTCCATCACCAACCAATGTAAACAGGACTCAATCATTTAAGAGTTTAATCTGTACATAGGAAAACATTACTTCTAACTTTCACACAGAAATCACCCCTATGTTTACATTTTTAGTTAAAACATTTTAGGCTAAAGTCATCTGTATTTCAGCGTCAAGGAGCCCTGCTGGTATAGTGGTCAGCATTGGGCGGCTCACCACAAGGTCAGCAGTTTGAACCCACCAGAGGCTCTGCAGGAGAAAGACGGAGGCTTTCTAATCCCAGATTTACAGTCTCAGGGACTCACTGGGACAGTCCTTCCTGTCATATAGGGTCACTAAGTGTCCTCACCATGAGTTTGTTTTATTTTAATCTCATCCTAATCGCACTCCCTTCACCCTGCCATCCCCCAGGCCACAACTATCATGAATTCCATTAGATACTTTTCTAATTTTAACACATGCATGCTAGTTCAGTCCCTCAAAGGACGGACCTGCACACCTCACTCCAACTTAGCTATATGGGGAAGATTTATTTTATGATTACCAGGCCCTCCTGAAATATACCTTCTCTTCTTCAAACCTTGGATATTCAGAGATGCATTAGTTAGGGGCTTAGGTGGCTGGGGCGTCCACTCCTGAACACCTATAAAGGGATTTCCCCTGTTCTTCAAGTCCCGAGTGTTGCAAACAGGAGAATGACCAGGAGACTTTTAACTGCAACCAAATTATTTTACTGGAAGGGATAGTGGAGAGGAAGGGAAAAGCCCCCAAAGTGAACCTGTTTTGACTGCTGCATGAATTGGTGTGTGGGGGGAGGGCAGTCTGTTTCTACCAGGCATTACTCCTGGTCGTTTACATTTTCATCCAAGAAGCTGAAGTTGTACTCTGCGAGGGGGATGTCCTCACTTTGCCAAAAAAACAAGCGAGTGAGGTGGTAGCGAAGCAACATTATATCCCTAATCAGGTGTTGTAGAAGGTGGATATTTACCAAGTAAGACAGCGCCTGGTCACCCTGCTCTGTGGCTGCAAGGTAGAGAGACATGAAGTCCGCAAAGCTTTGCTGCTTTACTTGACATATGTACTCCAGGGCATATAATGGATCGTCCCAGTCCTGCTCCTCAAAGTTCAGGTTGTTGCTAAACTGAATTTGTCTGCCACGCTGGACTTGTACTGTCATGAGATTTTCGGCGTATCCCAATTCGCTTACAGATAGATGGAAAAAATAGCCGGCGAAGTTCAGCAGACCCACGTCTTCTCGCTTGAAGTAAGAGGACATAGAGAGTAAGGCATAAGAGGCGCTTAAATTCCGTTCGATCTGCTGGTTGAATGCATCCTCGCACTCCTGTAGATAGGCCTCGTCAAATGCAGGTGTAGGTACAACTTCCATGGCCCCGGTTGAAGATGCAGCCCTGATGGCTTTGGATGGTGTTGGCTGCTGGGCGGCTCACTGTGTTCTCAGAGGCAGCTGGTTCTGAATGTTGCAGACCGCTGCATTCCAGAAGCAGCATTCACAATGCCACATTTTGAACCAGTCATACCTCGGGGTCAAAGGTTAGGGTGGTTTACAACCACTCTACCCGATTCGGAAGAAGGGTGTGGCATATGGAGGGATTAAGACCCGGATGTCAGGTCCATTCACCATTGGTGGGTGCAGGCCTCTGGGCGGGACCAGAACTTGGGATCCCAGCACAATGTTACTGGGAACCTGGTTGAGGTGGGCTGCCTGGAGTCCACGTGAGTGTGTGCGGTCCATCCAAAGTGTTACAGGTACATCAGCAACTGTTTGGGTTTCATCTTCTGAGTGTTTCTGAAAACGTATTTGCACATTGTTCTGACTATGTTTGGATGTATTCCTTGCTTCCTGTGATGTCATTCATGATCCTTATGACTGCTTTCTTACCTGCCTTTGAGTTGATTTTGGCTCTTGCTCACCCCGGGTGTGCAGTGCACAACAGCTCCACGAGAATTTGAAAGCTGTGTGTAACCAATCAGACACAGGTCACCAGGCCTATCTTTTTTCTTTTAACTGTATTTCTCTACATATCATTCACATACCATACAATTAAATGATTCAAATATACAAAAAAGACTTCTGCAATCATCACAGTCAATTTTATAGTATTTTCTTCATTTTTGCATCCATTATAATTAGTACCTCCTATCCACCCCACTGCCACGGTCATAAGCCCAACAAACTTAATTTCATTACTGTCTCTCAAGATTTACCTATCTTGGAGTTCATACAGAACAGTGGTTTTCAACCTTTCTAATGCTATGACCCTCTTATTGTGGTGACCCCCAACCATAAATTTTTTTTTGTTGCTACTTCATAACTGTAATTTTGCTACTATTGTGAATCAGGCGACCTCTGTGAAAGGGTAATTCAACTCCCGAAGGGGTCGCAACCCACAGGTTGAGAAACGCTGATATAGAGGAAATCCTACAAAAAAGAAGAAAAAATAAAGACCAATGACTATGAAATGAAACAAAGTAAAACTTCATTCCAATAGAAAACGGGAAAAATAAAAATAGAACAAGTTGAAAATTAGTCAAAATGAAAAAACAAATGGTTAGTTGTTAAATTTAAACCGAACTCGCTGTCCAATGTATCCTGTCTGTGGACAAGACTGCACTCAGCCCTGTTCAGTGGAGTGAGGGCTTCAAAGGGGCCTTAATCCACATGGGGACTCTGCAAATGGATTTGGAGCTTTCACCGTCATACATTGCCCTTTTCAAACAGGCTGTGCACAATTGAATCCCTAATACAATTTTTCCATCTAATCTTGGGCTATATCATTCCAAATCCTTGGATCACATGGCTAATGTTCATCTTCTGTGCAGACTTAGCTAACACCTCATTTAGATGGATGCTTTTCTAAGCGAAGCCTTTAAGTCAATCACATCAACAGGACCCCAGATGCTGGGACGTATTTTATTTCTTCACCATCTTTTTTCTGTAGCACCTATATAATCCTTTATCACTTCATGATGGCAGGTATGGAGAAGGGGCACATCCAAAGAACAAATTGTTCTTAGATTAGGGTCTATGATTAAGTGCGAGCTCCAATATATCATATATATATTCCTTTTCCACATTAAAGGCAGCATTATCAGGTTTTGGAGAATCAACTTTAGTAGGAGACATTTTGTGCTTTTATGAATAATATATTTAATCTAGTCCATGGTACAGAATTTAAAACGTAACTGTGAAAAGGGATATTAGCATATATATGAAAGCTTATTAAATTAAAATACAAAGAATGTTCATTTATACACGTTAAAAATTTAACTGAGCACTGCTTAAGGAAAAATGAAGGTTGTTCACATAGCATAAAATTTAATAATGTTCATTCATGAAGTCCCTCTAATAACATCATTGAAGGAGAGTCTGTTAAATTGGGGTGATCATGGGAACCTGCTGTATGGCAGGGAATATTTGATTCTCTCCCATTTCCTACTAAATGAACAAAAGAACCTGTCTGAGATGGGGCCTCCTGAAGAAATGGTTTGTAAGGTGTGCAAATAAGGGACTGTTAAATGGTTCATCAGCATTGGCCAGTCATGCCACACCAGTGCTTGGGAGAAAATAGTAAATGATTACATGACCAGAGAACCCATGCCAGGTTCTGTGTTGGTGTCTATCCTTATGCAGTGGCCTAATGCAATGCTTGTCATTTTGTGATTGACAAATTAGAGCAGGTCGATCCATGTCATGTGGTGCTTTGTGGTTTCATCAATGGTTTTTAGAGATGCATAGTATTCCACTGTGTGTATCTACCAAAGTTTCTTTCTACAATCATCTACTGATGGATTTGGGGGCTGTTTCCTACTTCTTGCTATTGGGCATATTGCTATCAGGAACATGGGAATGCATACATATGTTCATATTTTGGCTCTGACTTCTTTAGGGTATATACCCAGCAGAGGCATGGCTGGATTGTATAGAATTTCTATTCCTGTTTGTTTGAGGTATCACTTTCCACAGAGGTTTTACATGCATATGTTTTATTAATTGGGAGTTACTACATATATCATATCATTCCACAGATCAATCACATCAAGCAGAACTGTACAATTGCTACCACAATCAGTTTCCAAACATCCCTTTTCTTCTTGAATTCCTTGACACCATCTCCCTCCTACCCAACCACAACCCCTGTTCCACCACCATGACCCCTGAAAACCTTATTCTACCTGCTGTCCTATCGGTTCATCAATTCTGGCTTTCCTATACCAAAACACAGGGACACGATGTCAAGGATTCTAGGAAGAATACATATGCATGGAACTGATTGTGGAAGCACTTGTACAATTCTGCTTCATTAGCTGAAACTATGGGATGATATGTCATATGTATTAACTCCTAATTAATAACAATTTTCTTAAAAAATAAAACAAATTCAGAAATCAGTTTTGGGCTCGCAATAAGTCCTAGCTGTAACATAAGAACAATTAGTTCTTACATCATGGCCCTGCACAATATTCGGCCTTAGAAAGGGAACACAGGAGACACGGGTGCTATAGCAAAATGTTGCAAAGAAATTAGATGGTGGCTGACTATCAGATAAAATGGCGCCAGGGGTCTTAAATGATTGTCTCCAAACAAGCAGCCATCCATGTGAGATGTCAATTAAGTCCACATGGAAGAAGGACACCAGCATCAGTCACTGAAACAGAACTATAAATCATATAATCTGAAGTAACAAGAGGGAATAGTATCAGAGCCAAAGTTGTGAGAATCCGGTTTGCAGAGGCTATGGATGACAGTGGAAGGCCAAGTTTCATTTGTGGGAACTACACAGGAAGAAAGTTTCCGATGAACTCTCGCCACAATTGAGGCATGGGAGGAAAGTGGTTACTAAACAGAGTGTATTGCAGAGATCAGCATAGATCAAAGGCATAAATCTGACTTGGACACTTGATCCCTTGTCAGTTGATCCCTCCTCTGATGCATGCTGGACCTGATTTGGTTTCAAACCGTTTCTGTATTTTTGTTTTGTTTTGTTGTTGTTTGCTCAGAAGGGAGAGTTTCTCAGAGGTGTTATGTCAGTGGAGGTTTTACATATTTGGAGACGCATCATCAGTGGATGAGAGTTCCAATCTCTCCGCACCATCTTCAGTATTTGTTGTCGTATATTGGTTTGTTTTAGTGGACTGCCATTGTCAGTGTAATGTTATCTCATTGTTTTGAGGTGCATCTCCCTTACAGCTAAAGATCACGACCATTTTTTTTCATGTGGCTGGTGGTTTCAGATTGCTAACCTTGTGGATCCCAGCCAAATGCTTAACTGCCACGGCAACAAGTCTCCACTGTGACCATGCTTACAGCACCTCTGGGTGCTAGCAAGGTTCATCTCAGTCCTCACTGTGCCAAGATGCTCTTCACCAGAGGGTTCATACGTGTGGGGATATTGAAAATCGATTTGCTACATCCAGTGAAGGTGCATAATTTATTATTAATTGGGAGTATTGGGAATTCTTTTGAATTCATGATTTATTTATGGTAATTTCTGGGCCTTTTGTGCAGAAAAATCCTTGTCCCACCATCATGTTTGGCCTTCATTCAGGTTGTGGTAATTCCTCTCGGCTACATTGCCCTTGACCAAGCCCCCTCAAGCATCCTATGCCCTCCTCGCCATCAATTTTAGACCACTTATTCTTTCCTTATCCCTGGGTTTGTTGGCATCCCCTTTTTTCTCCCCCATATCCGCACTTTTCTTAATTCATCTGATTCCCACAATGCATACCACAACTGCCTGTGCTCTAGTGATTGTCCTGTCCCTTATCAATTGGTGACCTGGTTATTTAATAACTACCTCTCTCTTTGCTCTGTTTGCTGTAGATGGACCAGCCTAGTGGCATATTTCTTACAATTTTTTTCTTTTTCTTTAAATTGGTTGGTCTCATCTTCATGTCCATCTCAGACTTATCTAATATCTGTTGGCTTTCCTTCTCATAGAGTGTTCATCTATGGACGTCTCTAAAAGTGATAGGTTGGTTTGTTGACATGCCATGGACATCTGTGTACTCACAACAGTCTCTATTAGCTTTTTAAATAGTCCCCCAACACAGGGTAGAATACAACATCCAACTGTTGTTGAACTTCCAGCCACTATATGAGACAAGTGAGGATTGAAGCAGTTATGTTTTCCCACTTTCCAAAGCACCCCTCTATCCAGGTAAGGGCCATCAATCCTAGCATTATGGGCCAATTCGCTGAAGTGTTTAATCCCCACAGGGCTCTTGTGATGGTTCCATCAGGAGCTGTGCTTTGGGGGATAGAGGTGCAACATCTACCTCCAGTCATTACAAATACAGCTCCCTCTTGACTGTTTTCCCCTGTAGTGCATCTCTGGTGTACTTTATGAACCTTTCTTAATTATAGAAGATGTAATTAATCCAGTCCACATATTTATGTTTGACCACTAAAAAGGCATCCTCTTGAAAACCCTTATGCTATTTAATTTCTAGTTTTAAATTCACTAGGAACTTTCCTAAGGACTGCAATGGAGTCTGTATAACCAAGCGGCTTAAAAGGCCCACAGCGAGGTCTCTGGACTCGGGATTTTCTCAGAACGCTATGGTGAAGGGATTTCCAGCTGAACCAAGGCATAAGTTCGAGTTCAATTGGATGGAAGCAAACGTCAGAGGCTCTTCTTTCCATAATACCACCAGATATCCACCTAGGGTACTCTGAGGATTGAATAGTTGCTACTGCTAGACTTACCAGGGACATTTAGAATGTGCATGCAGGTTTTGTATGCGTGCAGGTGGATACTGTGAACTCTCCTCCCTGCCTTGAAAAGCAAGAAGAGTTATTCATCTGTCCTATGGAGACCGAGGGGACAGCTCTCTGATTCTACCACTGCAGCGCAAGGAAGAGCAATGGCAAGCTCTTACAAGTACTGTTTCCCCAAGCATCTTTATCCTAGTACAGAGCCATCATGCAGTGCCTTCCTACTGGTTCTGAATCTCAACCGAGGAGAAAGGGAACCATGTGTGCCTGTGATCTCAAGCATAGCAATCACTTTTGTTGACAGCCAGCACTGCATGTGTAATTCATCCCACCTAAGCATTCACACTTCCATATTCTGGCTCTAACGTTGGTCTTAAGGCGTTTTGCTTATTCTTTTGAGGTTGTTAACAACATTAAATTTGAGGACTAGGGTCATATTGTCTTGGTCACATTAACTATCAGTTTGGGGTTCAGGAACATAAGGCAATATACTACTAATGTGGAGAGGGAAGAGACCCACGATAGGCAAAGGACTTCTTCAAAAGAAGGACCAGATAGAAGGCCTCAAACTACCTGACCTAAAATCCTACTACATAGCCAGAGTAGTCAAACAGCCTGATGTTGGTACAATGATAGCTACATAGACCAACGGAGCAAAAGAGAAAACCCAGAAGTAAATACATCCACCTACGGGAAATTTATCTTTAACAAAAAACAACAACTATAGAACTGGATAAAAATAGCATCTTCAACAAACGGTGTTGGATAAATTGGATTTTATGCAGAAGAATGAAAACGATCCCACGTCCCTCCCCATGTGCAAAAATGAACTCAAGATAGATTAAAAACTTGAATATAAACTCCAAAGGTATCAGGATCATCAATGAGAAAGTTGGGTCATACTTGAGGGCCCCTATTGCAGGACATACATGGGTTACCAAGTAAGTATAATAAAGGAAGCACACACAGTAAAAGACAAAACAGATGACTGGGACCTGCTAAAAATAAATCACATATGCACATCAAGAGATTTCATCAAATGATTAAAATGAGAGCCCACAGATTGGGAACAAATACTTACCAATGACACAAGAGGCAAGGTTCTACTTACCAAAATCTACGGATCTCAACAATACCTCAGTAAGAGAATAACAAATGACGCAATTAAAAAATGGACAAAAGACATGAACAGTGCACCAAAAATGACACTCAAATGGCTTACAAACACATGAAAAAAATGTTCACAGTCACGATCTACCTGGAAAATGCAAATTAAAACTAAGGTGAGGCCATTTTACACCAACGGATTAATGCATGTCATAGTAAAGCAAGGAGGGAATCAAAATAGCAAATATATGGTGATTCTGGGTCACTCTTCATTGGGCACCCACAAACCAAGGGATCCCAACCAAGGTCCAGTGACCACTAGTTCTATTGCTCCAGGCTGGAAGTCATCTGTTTCTTCTCACCCCAAGGAGTGTCAGTCTTAAGTCCAAGGGCTAAAGAAAATCTCAGTGTATCCAGTGGAAGTTCCGTTTCAAGTCCTTCGGGTGTGCCCCATGAGGGATGCCGTGCTCCTTGAAAGAACAGATTCCAAAGTCACCTTAGTTCATAGCACGCAGCCTGGGTCACCGAGGGTTAAATCGAAAGCAGGTCACAAGTGGTGTGACATCTCTTTGATGGACCTCTCTGTAATTGACCTCCACTCCCTGGGACTCCCTGCTGCTGCCTAGTCCTACTCCTGACCTGGGTGGCAGCCTGCTCAGTTCTCCTTGCTTTCCTAGCAGCCCCTTTATGCTGTTACACCTGCTCTCCTGCCAGGTCCTTTTGCCAGGCCACTCCCTGGCTGCTAGCTATCTTCACTGTTACAGCCATTGACCAGGAAAAGGCCCTCAATAGTCACTCTATCCCTACCTCTGTGTGGTTGACTAATTATCTGAGCACACTCCTCATCCACTTCAAGGCTCGACCCTCACAGCAGGACTAGATTTTATTTGCACAGGAATTTGCCCTGATCTTAACATTTGAGTATGTTGCACAAACATGAATGACCAAAAGACCTAACTTTTTAAACTCTACTGCTAAATCACATAATTGGAAAAATGACAATCATAGAACAGAAAAGTAAAGAAGTGAAATATTTTGGAACTGCGGCACTCTGTGTTTATACAGAAACCTGCTGCACATCCAGGGTGAGGTTATCAAAGAGGAATTCTGCCATGTCTGCTTCTTCAGACTCTGTAGTTTGATACTCAGATTCAGCAAATAGTAACATTTTCATATTTTAATATGTGAAAACAATTTAGGGTAAATTAAAGACCCCTTTTATTTTCATCTCTGCCCGGTCTCATTCCCTTCATGCTGTCACCCCCTCCCCCATGACACCACTATCATGAAGCCAATGCATTGCTCATTTACACAAGGACCACCCCGCACACCACCCCTTGTTTTTTATAAGGCAAAGATTAATTTTGTGCTTGCAAGTGTTCCCTAAATAGCTTTTCTACCTCGACCCGAAGATATGTAGATATGCATGACTTCAGCGCTGGGATGGGGGGATGGTGAACCTGTATGCTTGTATGGGGATTATTTTTTTATTGTTGTTTAAAGTAAGGAGTGTGGCACACACAAAAATGACCAGGATGCCTTTATTTGTTTAACTCTGGGAACAAATCTCTTTATTGAAAGGAATGGCAAACTTGGAAGGGAAAAGAAAGAGAAGTGCACTTGGTGAAACCGCAGCAGGGAAGTGAACTTGTGACTGCAGCAGCCTTGAGTGGTCCTGGAACGAATGAGTCACCTTGTGTCCGTGGGGCAGCTCTCCTTGTTGCTGTCCTTGGGGTTGCGGTCGTTGAGGACGTCCTCGGCCAGGTGGTTTGTCTGCTCACTCAACTTGCGCAGGTTGGCCAGGTGGGCGTCCAGCTGCTGGATAGCAGCGGTCTGCGGGATCAGAAACCGGCTGTTCAGGAAGTCACCTAGCTGCATGTCGCCCTGCTTGCGGCCATCCAGGGCAGGTCCTGCAGGCTCAGGCTGATGTTGTGCTGCAGGGGGAGGTGGTGCCCCATGGCGGATAGCAAGCTGCCCCAGTGGTCTATTTCAGGCTTCGTGATGTCCCAGAACTGGATGCGGCCTCCGCGCTGGTTCTGCAGCTGCATCAGCGTCTCCACGTGCTGGCGCTGCTTGTGGGACTGCTGCATGAAGTAGTCAGCGAAGTTCTTCAAGGGCACATCTTTGCGGGCAAAGTGATGAGCCATTGCGAGGTAGGTGTAAGAGACATGGAGCTCCAGGTTGACTTGCTGATTGATGGCAGCCTCGCACTCCTCCTGGTAGCCCTCGTGCATCTGAGGTGAAGACGCGCATGCCATGGCACAGTCCGAGATACAGCACTGAAGGAGGCAGTCTGTGCTTGAAGGAGTGCTGGCTAAGTGGCCAGAAAAAGGTCTGATTCAAATGGTGGGAATCAGAACCGCTGTAACAGCCCTGGTTTAAGACCCAGATGTCAGGTCCGTTTAGAACCCAGCAATTTGGACCCCTATGAAGGGTGTGTGCATACGAGGGATTAGGACCCGGATGTTGGATGCATCCACTATTGGCAGGTATGGGCATGTGGGTGGGTCAGGACTGCAAGCCCCAGCACCATGTCCCAGGGAACTTGTTGGAGGCGGGAAGCCTGAGCACCTACTTTGTGGATGTGGTGTCTCTAACATGCAACAAGTTGTGCGGGGTAGGTGAGCAAACATTAAGAACCCAATGGGTCCTTTGGTGTTTCTGAACACTTATTTACATATTGCTCTGACTTGAGTTTCAATGTATTTCATTTCTTTTGCTGTCACTGAGAGCCCCAAATGTTGTTTTGTTAGTTGTCATTGAGTCAATTCTGACGCATGCTGACCCCATGTGTGCAGTGCACAACTACTCCATGGGGATCTCAAAGCCATGTGTAACCTATCAGACGCTGTTCACCAGGCTTTTATTTCAAGATGTCTTTGAGTAGGTTCAAACCAGCAATCTTTCCATCGCAGTCTAATGCATGCCTTTTTGCACCACCCAGGAACCCCCAGATTTAATATTACGGAGCTTTAATTGAACGACAGCTTCCCTCGGTGACTGCTTCTTTATTAATGGCCCATCTGCTAGTCTTCACGTATTTCCCAAACCTATCAAGTCCAGAGATCTCCACCTTTCTCCTTCCCTTCACCATCAAGTTAACACTGCTAAGATTGCCTAATACAACTTCCATACTCTCGGTGAATGTTTCCATCTCTCAATCTTTCTCTCTTCCTGATCTTGTTCCTCATCACTTTCATTCACTAATGTGCCTTTCTATTTTATCATCATCCTAGAAATACTGACTTCCTGCCCTTTGTGAATACCAAAATGAACAAGTTCAATGATGTCCTCATTGTTACCATGGAAGTACTCATTTCTACAGTGATGTTGCCAACATCCTTCTATAGGTCAAAAACAACCCTTCTATTGGCAATAAACAGAAGGTTAAATTGCACGGCAGGCCATAGTTAATTGCAGCAAAGGAAGTATTTTAAAGGAATGGTGGTATGTTATGAAAAGGGAAGACAAAGGTTCTGACAATGGCAAGGGGGAGCAAGGAAGGCATCAGCAAAACTTTTAGGATCCACCATAAACTGAAAATAAGAACAAATGAGAAATAACTCTTACTGTATGGTGCTATAGGAAAGTCAGTGTTCTTGCACAGTAACCAGCTGTCTTTTAGGACAAAGAGAAGTTAGGAACATCCTACCTGATGTATTTAAAAGAGAGGAGATTTTCCTGAAATTAAGCTGTATTCCAAAGGAGGGTAGTGAGAAGGGTAGCAGTATATAGGAAATCAGGAAATGTTGAATTGGATCAGAATAGAAAATGGACACAATCACTTGAACTAAAGTGTCCAGGTGATAAGAAATAACATGGGAGGTTTGATGATTTCTTGATGATGGGTAGGAAGTCCATGATGGCATTGATCCTGGTGATCTTGTATGGGGAGGATCCCAGTAAGTTCTAATTATCCCCTAAAATGGGAAAATCACCAGCTACTTTCAGATTTAGATTAAGTACTCAAAAGTGGGAAGAAGGCTAGGTTCATTTCCTGGCCAATGCACCTCATGCACAGCCACGGCCCATCTGTCAGAGAGGAGTGTGTGCTGCATGATACTGAACTGTTTCAACAAGCTTCCAGACTACATAGATGTGAAGAAGGAAAGGCTTGACCATCTATATCTGAAAATAGCCTGATGAAATTCCTATGTATAGATCACAAAGTTCAGACCTGCAAGAGACCATGGGGATGATACCTGACAGGGAAGTATTATATTCTGCTTTGCATGGATTTTCCATGCTTGTGAAACCATCATAACTGGAAATACCAAATATATGAGGATGAATTCTTGTTCTTGTATTGCTTACAGTTGAAGCAAAGAACAAATAATTTATCAGGTAACTCAAATTATGCGAGTAGTTCTATGAAATTGAGATTATGAGTGCTCAACAATATTGCTACTTTTATGCCACACTACTAGACTATATTTTCTAGCTCTACAGC